GAGGAACATATCTTAATGAAAGATACATGCGATATGATGAGACTTCTATATTCAATGCTAAACAAAATAAAACACAGAAATAAAGGAAGTCAGGGTTGAAATAATGACTGAGCTATGACATCACCTCCCTCCATCTTTGAGAAAAATAAAACAAAATAAAACAAAGTAATAAATGAACATATCAACGTAATAAAAAAGGCTATCATCTGACAACACCTCCCTCCATCTTTGTGAGAAATAAATAAAAATAAAACTAAGTAATGAACATATTAACGAAATAAAAAAAGGCTATCATCACTGCATAATTTTTATTCCCCTCAGTGCCTTAGAGAACTGTTTTCTGTTCCTTTAATTAATATACTGCAAGAATTGAAAGACTTCCCCATTGCTTGTGTTTTCAAGTTAAAGTTTTTATTTTCAAATTTCATTGATATTGTTAATGTTGTTGTTTTTATTATTATCATTATCATTATTGTTATTATCATCATTATCACAACTATTATTAGTATTATTATTATCCTCACTATTATTATTATTACTATTATTATTATTACCACTATTATTATTATTATTATCATTATCCTCATTATCATTATAATTATCATTATTATTATTAGTAGCAATAGTATCATCATTATTATTGTCATTATCATCATTATCACTGTCATTATTATTATCATAATTATCACCATTCCAGAAGTGTGATTTCACTTTTGTTGGGGTAAGCCATGTTTGGGCATCTTTCTGCAAAAGATCCCAATAGTGTGTGAGCTGAAAGCTAGGGTCACACTTGTTTTCTCTGTCCTGGGAACCCTAGACAGCCTCGCTAAAGTCAGGTCAACAAACCAATCAAAAGCTGTAGCTGGCCAGACATCGGCAAGGCTGTCTACGAATCCAAGGACAGAGAAGACTTGTGTGACCCTAGCTTAAGCAATTTCGGAGATATTTTGAGATGGATATGTGAATTCTACTGGACTGTACTAATGTTAATAAGCTGAATTTTTATCCTAGTTTTATTGGTGAATTGTTCAGATAGCATAATTTTATTTATTTTATTTTTTTTCAAAAACCAACAGGCTTTGGTGCACTACATCTCTGCTACTTTACAGGATCAAAAGGTTGAAATATGCATCACAAATTTATTCCCAGTTCTAAAAATAGATATGCTTGTAGTTCATGAGACTTTGCTCAACATGGTGCTGTCAGGGATGGCATGTACCAACATGGTGCTGTCAGGGATGGCATGTACCAACATGGTGCTGTCAGGGATGGCATGTACCAACATGGTGCTGTCAGGGATGGCATGTACCAACATGGTGCTGTCAGGGATGGCATGTACCAACATGGTGCTGTCAGGGATGGCATGTACATACATGCCATGCCCACTGTGAATTTAGTTTATCAATTGTCTTTATACACAGATGGTTCCATTGAGCTAATTACTAATCCTATCTATCATACTGTCTACCCTTTTCTTTGATTTACTGAAATATTTATTCTTATATTATATTATTAGTAATGTCAAGTACATTACAATAATCATAATGCCTATATCAATTGTAACAGCATCAATATTGATGGCATTAGTAATTTTTCTCCATCTCTATAAAAACAGAGAAAGGTAAATCAGGTTGAGTTGTGAGGTCTACTAATTAACTCCTTGGTGGCTGATCAATTGTCGAGCCATCAAAGTGTTGATGCATTTCACAAAAGAATACTACAATGAACCCTATATTTTTCCTGCAGCCGCGGGTTAACCCAACACTGCCAGGGATGGCATGTCCTTACATGCCATCCATTATGACTTTAGTTTATAGATTGTCTTTATACATTGATGGCTTTCCTAATACCATGTTGCCAATGAGACAATTACAAGTACTATCTATTTCATCTGCTTACTATTTTTCTTGATTTTCAGAAATATTTTTCATTATGTTATATTGCTGTTGCTAATGTCAATATCACTTTAATAATTATAATGTCTATAAAAATAATAACAGCATCAATATTGATAACACTAATAAAAAAAAAATCCCCACAAATTCTAGGAAAGGTGAAATCAGACGAGGTTACAAGGTCTACTAAGTGACTATTTTGTGGCTATGTAGAGACATTTCACAAAACAATACTACAGTGTACACAACATTTTCTCAGCGACATGAGGTTAATAATAAGAAAAGAAAAAGAAGCATAATGATGATCCAAGACAACCTATTCCACAGAATATCTAATATATATTAAATTGATAAATTATGTTGCACCTGCATTAAATGTCAAATGGTTCTCTATATTACATTTTCTAAAATTTATTTAACAAAATTTGCAAACCTAACCTAGGCCAGAGGTTCCCAACCCGGGGTCCACGTTATACTTTTGGGGTGTCATGGAGCTATATAAAAATTATGCCACTGAGTTAAACTGAATTTTATCTCACCTACAGTACCTACATATAATTATCCCTCACATACTCAATGAACTGGAATCTTTCCATCAAGTACTC